ATATTTTAAAATGAACTGGAGAGCTCATTCAATTTTATGTCTTATAGGGTTTATAGTGAGTTCAATAATGTATACCTTTATTAATTCAACCCTGTGAACCTAAAAATTTACAGCCAATTTTTATAGAGATGCGTCTTTGCTCTGGAAACTGTTATTAAATGTGTCAATGCTGTTGAAATGCTTCTTCTGATTGTGTGGTTATTAAATAAATAATTAAAAAATAAAAATAATAGATTTATTTATATCTTATGTGTGTGAATGTTTTGCCTGTATGAATGTCTGTACTCATGTCGTGTAATGCCCATGGAGGCCAGAAGACAGCATCAGATCCTCTGGAACTGGAGTTACAGGGAGTTGTTAGATGCCATGTTGGGTGCTGGGAACGCAACTTGAGTCCTCTGCAAGAGCAGCTAGTGCTCCTAGCCATGGAGCCATCTCTTCAGCCCCAATAATGAATATTTCCATATAAGGTCTGTCCCTACTCTAACAGATAAAGCATAATTACACTATGGTCTTTATGTAATAGTTTATAGTAGCCCTCATATGAAGTAAAATATGCACATACATGTACACCAACATATTCACTTACACATACACACATATGCACACATAAACACACACACCCCTCCTCAAAGTAAAATCTAACTTTGTATAAAAGAGTCAGGGAAAATGTCAGCATCAACAGTGTTGCTGTTTTTCTGGAAAGCAGACTTTCAATATTTGTGACTGTTTTTCTGAGTGGGAGAAAAAATGATTTGTTACTTTCTTCTAGTTAACATAAGCTAGGCTAGCAAGTCCAAATGCTAGCTGTCTAGACCTGAAGGTTTGATTATCCCAGCTGGGCAACTGCTACTCCAGAAATCATGAGAAATAGGACAGGGGAAAATGCTGTGGTGTTTCTTTTGGAACCACACAAAAATTAAGGCATTGCATGCATCCTGTATCAAAATGTACCACTGGCATGAAATGCTGTACTACGTGGTACCAAAATACATTAAATATAAAATGGAATCTTGACCAGAAGAAAAATGTGGGATCTTGTGACTACCAAGAACACCATGTTTACCTAGGAAGAAAAGTGAAAACCAGTCCAATCCTGAAGTGTGGTTTTGCTGGACACATCTCCAGCACGTTGCAGACCTTTTTACTGTGGTTGGAAACATGAATCAACTTGTGTGTTCAATGGGGTCTCAGACCACCTGTCCATCAGGATGATTAGGCTCTGAAATGCCATTTTGATATGGGTTGTGTTGGCAAAACAGGACCGTGCATTTAGGCTGAGATGAAGCAGACTCTGAACAAATCATTACCCCTGTGATGCTGGAAAGAAATCTGAATTCAGACATGCCTTGAGGCCAATGTCGATGACCTTAATTTTCTATCATGTCACTGACTGAGACATTAAGTTAGCCACAGTTTGCTGGACTGAGTCCTGACGTGAAGGGGAGGTGATGTGGGTGTCAGAGTCTAGGTGGATGAAGGATCTGAGAACTGCTCTCATTGGCTGGAATCACAAAGCAAAAGACTGTCAAATGTAACCCAGAGTGAGTCACAGGGACAGAAGCACAAAGACATAGAGTAGAAAAGATTTGAAGAGAAAGCATTGGGACCACAGACTGGAAGGGCAAAAATGAGAACTGAGCAGGAAAAGAATGGAAAAAAGTAGGACTCGATTTCACATTAATGACACTCGATAAAAACACTGTTAGACCTGGGTTCAGTTCTCAACATCTACATAGTGGCTCACAATGTCCACAACTCCAATTCCAGGGGATCCAATACCCTCTTTTGTCCTTCACAGGCATTGCGTGACACAGGTACATTTACATATATGCAGGTAAAACACTCATACATATAAAAGAAAACTAAAATTTTTTTTTTTTGGTCTTTTTGAGACAGGGTCTCCCTGTAGCCCCAGCTGGCCTGGAACTCACTATGTAGACCAGGCTGGCCTTGAACTCACAGAAATCCGCCTGCCTCTGCCTCCCGAGTGCTAGGATTAAAGGTGTGCACCACCACGCCCAGCCTAATATTTTTTAAAAACTCTCTATTATGGTGGGTGAAGAAATGGCTCAGTGGCTAAGAGTGCTTGCTCCATAATCAGGAGGCTCTGGAGGGGGACAGGGAGTGGGGACAACAAGTGAGGCTTGTCAGCCTACCTGCTTTCCAGCCCTCATACCCACTGCCACTCACCCCTAGAGTCTCCAGAGGCACTCTGCCTCTTTCCTTTATTAGCAGGTTCACATGGCCTGGTAGGACCTGTGGCTAAGCTTCTAACAAATATTAGACTTGAAAGATCTTCCCTCTTCCCTGATAAGTCAAACTTGAAGCAAGAAAAGGTCACTTAATGGCTTATTCTCTACAGAAGACCATGTGTGCATCTTCACAACCAGCAAATGGGTTGAACTACGGGGAGTTTTATGTCCTTTTGGCTTCAGTGTACAGGTATCCCTCTTCTTTCCTGTCCATGTGAGGTAAACCCAGAGAGGTCTCCAGCTGTTAGCATGTGTTTTCAGCAGAATAAGCAAAACCAGTCACTGGACAAAGTGAATGTGAAGTAGGTGGCTGGGGGTTTCAATATGTGGATAAGCTATGTAGACTGGAGGACAGTTGTTTGAGTAGTTAGTGGAAAAGATCCTACAGGAGTCAAAAAATTCAGCCTTGAGGACTTGGCCCATCAGACAGAAAAACTGGTCCTCTCTAATACTATATGAGCAGTAATTCCTCCCATACAGTTGGCTTGAAATGTTGGCCTTTATTTTCCCCAACTTGGATGAAAGCAAAATCCAAAGAATAGCATTTGCAAATAAGGAATTAAGTTTTCAAATCCAGATTTCAACCTATTTTTATTTATTTAAATGGTGTGAGATGACAGCCATTCAATTAGATAAATATTTTTTTGACTCAACAATGAAACATTCAGAAGAAATCCTTCCTAGATCTGAAGACATTTGCTTTTTCTAGAAGAGAATCTGAAAATTCTGCACATTAGACATTCAAAAGAAATGCATAAACAGCCTTAAGACACTTAAATATATTATCCAACTTAATTTTAATTAATTAGTTTATTTTTGTGGTGCTGGGGATTAAACCCAGGCCTTGAGCATACCAGGCAAAGACTACCACTGAGTTACATCTTTTTATTACTTAAAGTTTAAAATTTTGGGCTGGAGAGATGGCTCAGCAGTTAAGGGCACTGGCTGTTCTTTCAGAGGACCTGCATTTGATTCCCAGCACCCACATGGCAGCTAACAACCATCCATAATTCCAGTTCCAGGGGATCTGATGCCCTCTTCTGACATTTACAGGCATTGCACAACTTGGTTGCATTTACATATACACCCATACACACAAAATAAAAAAAATACAGTATTAAAAGAGAAAGTTTAAAATTCATGTGACCCGCTTTAAAATCGATTAGCATTAAACTTAAAAGATGAAAGAATTTCCAATATATGAGAAAACAAAAGATTGTGGCTAAAAAAGATTTCTGTCAGCTAGAGCTATAGGGAGACTGTCTCAAAAAGACCAAAAAAAGAAAAAACAAAACAAAAAGATTTCTAACCCAGTTGGTGCTGTATGCCTCTAATCCCAGTACTTGGGAGGCAAAGACTGGTGGAACTCTGTGAGACTGAGGCCACTCTGGTCTACATAGTGAGTTCTAGGCCAGCTGGGGTTACAGGGAGATCCTGTCAAGGGGGGGGGGTAGGAGGGGAGAGAGATATTTCTTTTTAATGTGTGTGTATATGTGTAAGAGTGATTGTGTAAGTATGGGCCCATGTGTAGAGGTCAGAGGAAGACCTTGGGTACCTGTCCTTACCTTCTTCCTTGACAGAGGCTCACCTGTTGTTCACTGCTTCATACACAAGGCAAGCTGGCCCACAAGCTCCAGAAATTCTGTCATCTCCCCTTAGGCTTGCTGGGATTATGGATGTGTACTACTGTATCCAGTTTTATGTGGGTTCTGGGAATCCAAACTCTGGTTCTTATGGCTTGCTTAGCAATCACTTTACACACTGAGCCATCTTCCCAACCCTTTCTCCCAATTTCTTATCACAAAGCTAAAAGGGGCACACAGATTATCCAGTCCTACATGCTGATTTTCTTGATGCAGAGATTAAGTATCTCACCAGCAACCAAACAGCCAATGAAGGTTACCCAAGGCTCTTAGAAGAGTCACTTCCCATGTGTATCAGCCACAGGCTGACTTTCAACCATGGCTGGGTGGCCTTTAGTAGACAGACACATGCATTAGTGCTCTCCTTTCTGGACAATCAGCCAAGCTGTTATTCCATGTTCAAAGTAGGATGAAGTACCTCACCTTTGGATTAGGGTGTCGGCCAATGACCAGACGAACTGGTCCTGGTGGGCATTTGCTTAAGATAGCATGCACTTTGCTTAATGCTGCATGACGTACATTCACGGAGTTCACTTCCAGGATCTGGTCTCCACGGCTGCAGGGGGTAACACAATAACATAGTGTGGCAATAGTCAGCTTTTTAAAAGCTAAGATGACGTTCTTTCAGGAAGGGATTTAGAATAGGAAATCTTTTCTGAATACCTCAAAGAAGCAAATGTGATTCTTTCATCTTTGTATACATACATATTTTTAAAAAGCAGTATGTTCATATAAACATCACATCCTAAATTGACCAAGGCTATTATCATTGATTGACTTTTTTTTAAAAAATAGGAGTAAAACTGATAATAAGGACAACAATGAAGGCTACCATTGAGTACCTACTATATGCAAGGCCCTATGCAAAATAGGTTATATAATAATACTTCGCATAAGTGCAAGTATTCCCATTAATTAGGGGGCTTCCAGAGGAGGCCACCCAGATTAGACATCATGCACTTAAATTATCTCAGGTCTATCTGACTTTTGATTATCATGACAGCCTCTTGACCACCATCCGTTTCTTCTTCCATCCTACCATCTTGAAATGATTACTGTAATATAGCTGAAAAGGGGAATGTCTGACGCTCCAAGGTTACCCAAGAATTTGCAAAAATATTCCAAATTTGAGCAAATGAGAAATTTAGGACAAGTTGCCTATTATGACTTGAAGTTATCAGGAGAGAGCTCAGCAGGAGAGAACAAAGGCCCTTTACACGGGGTTGGAGGAACGTTCATTTGGCCAGCTCCAAGCATATGGAACCATTCAAGAAAGAAACATCAACTTGGGATGTCATTAAAGGACTTTTTTTCCTTGGGTTCTAAAAGTATATTTTCTTTAATGTACTCTGGATGATTTGCTAAGTTTTTTTCATATGGAAATTCACTCTGATGATTAACTAAAAATGTAATATAATCTATTAACAAAGCCCCCAAATGGCAACCTCAACCAAAGCTGTTTTGATATTCTTCAACTGCCAAAGGACTTAGAAGCTTATGGGGGAGAAAGGTGATACTGTTTGCAGAGTGCTTTCTGTAACATGTGCACATTTTTGTGAAGTTTAGGTGGGCACCAACCATTATAATAATTACTATATAATAGAACACCAAGATATTTTTTGTATTCACAGAATATTGATAATACAGCTCTACAACTCAACTATTTGGAATGAGAAATTAGCTGTTCCATGATTTAAGACAAAAGGCACCCAGACATCATCACTCAAATGGCAATGAAAGCAACTGAAAAAGTTCAAAAGCTAATAACGAGCCCTCCCACTTGAGGGCATGATTTCAGGGCTCTTTTGCATCCAGTGACTGAGCCAATATAAATAGTTCCAGTTTCTTGTATCAAGTTTGCATAAATGAATAGAAAAGTGAAAGAATATATTGAAATAATCACAGATATCAGCATTGAGTTGTATTTTGTCAAGATTCTGAGACTGAACTTCTGAATCCAAATACAACAAAAAAGGAGGGAAGCTGTCTTAGTTTCATTTCCTGTTACTGTGATAAACTACCCTGACAAAGGCAGCTTAAGAGAAGGGTTTATTTTAGTTAAGAACTCCAAGTTATAGGCCATCATTGTCAGGCTGGTCAAGGCAGCAAGAACTTGAAGCAGCTAGTCAACAGTCAAGAGCACACTCAGTCTGATTTTCCACTCTTATACAATTCACAATCTCCTTGCTAGGGTATTCTGCTGCCACACATAGTGGGCAGGTCTTCCCACTGCAATTAACATAATCAAGATAATCTCCTATAGACATGCCCACAGGCCAGTATGACCTAGACAATATCTCACTGAGACTGTCTTCAAAGTAATTCTAGAATGTGTCAAGTTGACAGTTAAAACCATCACAGAAGCCAAGATCCAATGTCCTCTGATTCAACCCAAGTTCATTCATATGGGCTTTTTATTTTTGGAGATGCTATTAATTGGGAAGAAAATCAAAGATATAGAATTCCACAGAAGAATGAAGTAGAAGAGATGGACGTGGTAGTGCATGGTTATAATCCTAGCACTAGGGAGGTGGAGGCAGGAGGATCAGAAGTTCCTGATTATCTTTGGTCACATAGTAAGTTCAAGGCCAGCTTGAGCTACAGAAAAACCATCTATCTGTCTATGCACTTAATTTGTGTATGTATTTACATAGTCAAGAGCACACCAGGACCCTATATAGTCAGGGATATAACCAACCTCAGGTTGCTCTCCATCTTGGCCACGGATCCAGGGGCAAGACTGTGAATATAGATGCCTGGAGGGCTGTTTTCCAAGGCCAGGCAGCAAGCACCAATGCCTAGTCCAACTCTTGGCTCTGTGAGAGGTATGATTCAAAGACACCAAAAGCAGACATTACACATAACCAGAATAGATGTACAACCAATTCAAAACTGTATTTAATATATATTCAGAACAATAACCTTTCAGTTTTGGTCTGGACTCAGAATGTAAACCCTACTGTCTTTCTTATTAAGTTGTCTATTCTCTCCTTAGTCTAAGAACTCCTCAAATCTGTGTTTGGAAATAGCTGGAATACTAATATTTTTGTTCTTGAGTTAAAACCTTTCAGACTTTTTGGCCTTTCTTTTGGCAACTCATTTCTTGGTTATTTATAATCATTAATCAACAATTTCTGTAGTAAGTATTGAGGGGAGAAGAAAGATGGAAAGCAGTAAGATTCGCTGACTACCCATGATTCATAATCACTGGTATTCTTGACCATAATCTCTAATTCTTTAAAATTGTATATGGTTATTAGACCTAAGCTACTTTTTTTTTTTTTTTTTTTTTTTAACATGAGTCCCTGACACACAGATCATTCATCTGGGAAGAGTCTGAAGACTTTGTGTTACTGGTGGCTTTCCCTCACTTTTGTAAAATGATTAAAATCTCTACTTTTGATCACACTGTCCAGTTAAGAGAACACCATCTGTTGCAGACAATAGATGGTTCCAAAGGAATAATTTAAAAAATTTAGAAAAAAATTAACGTAAAATTAGATTCCAAACTGTTATTCAGGAAAGAGCAAGGGAGTGAGGTACAGTTAACACCACCTTTGTTGAGCGTGACCTCCATGACGATCCTGTCTTTGGGCCCAGGAGCCTTCCGACCTAGGGATGAAGAGCCACCTTCATCAGAGCCTCCTACTGAGATTCCCACACTGGTGTTGAAGCTTGGGGAGCTAGACCTACTCATGTGTGTGGGGGTAGAGCAGGGCGTGAGGCTGGGGCTGAGCAACTTTGTGCGCACAGTCAGGACAAATAACCCACTTCGAATTTGCTGCAAAACAAGAAGGAGGGTGGGTGAAGACATTCAGCTTGCTCTCATAGCAAAGGAGCCCAAACCCAGAAGGGAACAGGAGATGGAAAGCACAAGGACGTAGATCAGTAAGGATGCTGTTACCTTGAAGGTGTGAATGGCTTCTTGAAACGTCAAACCCTTTATTGGTATTCCATTGACATCTAGGATTTCGTCTCCTGGTGCCCAAACATGAGAATTACATCAACATTCAGCTTTAATCCACTCGACTCACTTAGTTGAAACTATAGTGACATACCCTATCGCCCCTGAAATACCACTGTAAAGTAACTTTTATGGCTTTAATCCACTTTCATTAACCCAGCACCTAAGAATGTCTCCTAGAAGAGATAACTAATAAAAATTTTTAAAAATCTGTATTCTTCACCAGTAACTCCATATTCCCCTCTTTAATGAAAACAGCTGTGGGATTGGGGTGGGGTAAAGCACATCTGTAATCCCAGCCCTTAAGAGGCTGAAGGAGGAGGATCATGAGTTCAAGGTGAGACTGGGCTACAAAGTGAATTCAAGGCCAACCTGGGCTACAAAGCAAGGCTCTGAACTAAAGCAAAACCTTGCTGGTTGTGGTCACACATGCCTTTAGTCCTAGCACTCAGGAGGCAGAGGCAGGAAGATCTCTATGAGTTCGAGGCCACCTAGTCTACATAGTGACTTCCAAGCCAGCCAGGGCTACATAATGACCCTGTCTCAAAACAAAACAAAACAAAACAAAACAAAACAAAACAAAACAAAACAAAACAAAAACCAACTCCCCGCAAAAACAAAACAAACAAAAAACACCACCAACCAATCACCCCAGAAAACACTACAAACAACAAAAACCCCCAAACCAACCAACCAGCCAAAACAACAACGCATATATACACAAACACAAACAAGTACAAAATATCAACCAACCAACCAACCAAACAACAAACAAAACCGACTGTGGGAAACTTCAAGATCCTGTCCTTTAACCATTGGTATCTCTGACAGTAAATACCCTATGCTTAGAGATAGAACCGAAATACTGAGTTTCAAGGCTTTTCTCACAGTCATTGTTTAAAACCTTAAGCCCACTGGCACCAAAGCATGTGCATATACACATCTGGGGGCCACTCCTGTATTTGCAGAGAGATAAACTCCTAAATCCAGGGAATCAACATGATGTCCGGAGTGGGTTTCAATGGTAGAGAGAAAAGCGTGTTGAGATATGACTGAGAGCTGGTAGCCACCACCAGAAATAGTCTGAAGCTGTGTGGTCTTATTGGGGCAGGTCCCGGGGCTCCATTCTTAGGCTTCTGCCTCAGGTATCACAGCAGGGTCACGCCAAATGATGGCAGGGGGTGCCAAATGGTGAGGTGTGTGAATACGCATTCTCACTTGTTTCTCCCTACCTCAGGGTAGCCTACCCTCTTCAGTGCCACCTTCAGGTCATTTTCATGCTGTTCACAGTGACTTCTGAAACATTAGAGGATGTGGACATCCTGTTGACTTGTAAGAACTTGTTTCTCATTTGCACTCTTGTGACTTGATCTGCGTTCTGGAATAAAAGCTCATCAAATACCAAAAGATGTCCCCAAGAGATTAACAGGCATACTTTGCCTTCCAGTGTAAGAGGAAAGACAGACTTTGTACACAAAGTTGCAAAGCAGCAGAAAAACATTTTCACTTCAGCCAACTGATTCCAGAGCACAAGGAATTTGATAAATAAGCCACAAAAATGTAGCAGTGCCCCAATCATTCCCTTTAATGCAGCTGCATACACTGCACAGTAAGTGAAATGCTCTCCATGTAAAAGTCACCTGGCATAACCAATGATTCAATTATGTCTCGAGGTTGTATCCACATGCACACAGGAAAGAAACACTGCAATGATTACTCATGCTCTTCAAATTTCCATAAGAGCTTTTTTTTTAGTCTTTTTGAGACAGGGTCTCCCTGTAGCCCCAGCTGTCCTGGAACTCACTATGTAGACCAGGCTGGCCTTGAACTCACAGAGATCTACTTGCCTCTGCCTCCCAAGTGCTGGGATTAGAGGCGTGCACCACCACCCCCAGCTTACATGAGAGCTTTTAAGGCACATCACTCAATAGGTTTGACTTACATCTCTTATAAATGGACACTCATGAAAAGAAAACAGGCAGGAGCATCAGTCATATTAACCTTTCATAATTATTCTTTTTTTTTTCCTTCTGCTTTGCTTCATTCTACCAACCAGTCTTGCAGCATGAATTTTAATCAATGAACTCATAACAGGTACATTCATTCTAAACTACTCTGTTAGATGGTTTTTTTGGTCTTTTTGAGACAGGGTCTCCTTGTAGACCTGGCTAGCCTGGAACTCACTATATAGACCAGGCTAGCTTTGAATTCACAAGAGATCTGCCTGTCTCTGCCTCCCAAGTGCTGGGATTAAAGGTGTGTGCCACCATGCCCAGGTTTGCTGGACTTTTACACTCTTCTGAAACTAAATGCCACCACCACCTGAGGGTTAACTCTTCTGCAAAGAGACAGAAACCAATATTTTGTTCAAGGAATATAAACCCTGATGATGTCATACTGTTACATAAAGGCTTATATAGGCTCTGCCTAAAACCAGAACACTCCAATTCACTCTTATACCAGTTTTTAAAAAGATGGCCACTATAGTTTGAGTTAATATAACTGAACATTCATATAATTTCTGAATGTAACTAGAAATATTCTAACAATTATCTCATGAAAGATATATACTGGGCTAGTGAGATGGCTTGGTAGGTAAGGGGAACTCAAGCCTAAGGATCTGAGTTCAATTCCTGGACCCACATGGTGGAAGGAGAGAACTGACTCCTTCAAGTTGGTTTCTGACCTTCACATACACACTGGGACATGAGGTCACCTGTGTGTACACACACACAACCCACACGCAGAGTTAAATGTAATAAAAATGAAAAAAAAAGTACTAAAGGGGGAAAAATCAGGATCCATGGTTTGATGAGCACGATTTAAAATATTTTCAGAACTTATTTGTAATTTTGCTTTATGAGAATATATAATCTTAATCCACATGCAGATTTCCTAACAAAGATACAGCTATGTGCCAGGCGTGGTGGCACACGCCTTTAATCCCAGCACTTGGGAGGCAGAGGCAGGTGGGTCTTTGTGAGCTTGAGGCCAGCCTGGCCTACATAGTGAGTTCCAGGACATCTGGGGCTACAAGGAGACCCTGTCTCAAAAAAAGACAAAAAAAAAAAAAAAAGATACGGCTATGTAATCATATTCAATAAGAAGAATCTCTTTATTAAAAGATGCTACTATGTACATAAAGGGATTTCTAGTCTATTCAAATGTTTCTCAAGTACCATGAGACATTCAAGAAGGAAGAGTGAGTTCTTCTGGTTTTGTTTTGTTTTGTTTTTGGTCTTTTTTTTTTTTTTTTTTTTTTTTTTTTTTTTTTGAGACAGTCTCCCTATAGCCCCAGCTGGCCTGGAATTCACTATGTAGACCAGACTGGCCTTGAACTCACAGAACTCCACCTACCTTTGCCTCCCAAATGCTGGGATTAAAGGCATGTGCCACCACACCAGGCTGAAAGAGTGAATTCTTACATTTGAGTGGGGCAGTAGCACTAAAATGAGGCTGAATTTGGGATCACAAAACTGGGTTTCACCTTCACTGCTGCTGCTGCTCTACCCTAGAAGCAAGTTTCTAGTCACTTAACATTTCTGAGTGCCAGCTTCCTCACTTGTAAAATGATCCCTCCAAAATGCCTACTCAACAGGGTTGTAATACAGTTAATGAAATCATTTAAATACATAGAAATGCTTTGTAAATGTTTAAAGTACTGTAAAATACAAGGTGTATTTCAGCATTAAAAACTTTATTTGAAAGGTATAATGTAAAACCTCAGTATTACCTTACTCTGCATTCAAAAGCACTTTGAAATTGTATTTGTGTTTGATAAAATGGTAGGTGCTATGGAAAATGTAAAAGGTGTTCAGTTAGGAACCAAACTACATAGTGGTTGATTTCAGTGGTGAGATATTGAGTAGCTACCAATGGTCAGGTACTCTGTTTCCATATCAGCTCTAAGGAGAGAATGGATTACAACACTCTCAGGTTATTTTCAAGGCATAGACCATGATCAAGGAACAAGTAGAAGAGGTATACACCTACAGGCTCCAATAAAAGCATCAAGCCACTTTCCACATACCATCACAACAGTTTAAGGCAGATGCTAATAGCCCAAGTTTATAGCTGAGGAAAGTGAAGCTTGGGTTACATGGGCTGTCCAAGGTCATGAGGAGGAAGTGCTGGATTCAGCCCAGGTCTGCTGGGCTCTCAAGCCTGTGACCTTAGCTGCTGTGCCATGCATTCATATCTTATAAGGGAGAGGAACCTGAAGAATCAGGCCCAGTGTCACTAAAGATTGCTTAGAGGCTTTCGCCTACCTTCTTTAAGTCTCCCATCCTCTGCAGCGGATCCATTTGGGAAAATGGTCTTGACAAAAATCCCCATCTGGCCTCGAATGCAGTCTCGACCTCCAGCAATGCTAAAGCCAAGGCCCTACATTAAAGTAGAGAGTCCAGGTTGACATTGTAGAATGTAACTGAGGGTATCCTTCCCTACAGGATCTGGCTGAGATAACTTTTCTACTGAGGTTAAGATAGGCAACCAATTTCAAGTTCAAATTTTCCTTCTCTATTTCCTTCCTCAAATATAGTTGTACTTCACCAGTCATGTATCATATTAAGGGGAGGGATTTAGGTTGAACATCTGAAATGGCTAATACCTGACAGTCTTTGACTTCAAGAGTAATAGTGGTTTACCAATCAACCTAGTGACTGACTCTTCAGAGCCATTTCACACCTTTGCAGGCACCATATTTGTTTCATCTTTTGTATAACATCATGGTAGATATTTTATATTTATGTAGTTTCAAGTTATTCATACACTTGTATAATGGCAATGCCATGAGTGTCACTCACAAGGATAACAGGGAACACTGAAGGTACAGCTGGTGTATTTCCCTCAATAGAAGTGAAAGAGTGGGGGTCATCCCTTCCACTCTTGCCTTGAACCCTAGCATCCAGTCAGGTGCTGGTATCTCCTCATATCATAAGGCAAAGAGGGTATGCCTGCTTCATGCCCTGGGGCCTGCAGCAAAGAATGCCAGGGAAGCTGCATTATCTATCATCCATCTATCATCTATCTATCTATCTATCTATCTATCTATCATCTCCTGCCCCCAGACTTCTGTGCTCCTGCTTCTCCAGCTATCAGGCTCAGACTGGAACTCAAGCTTTGGGCTTGGACTGGGACTACACAGACTTTCTTGGGCCTAAGCTTGCAGACAGATCATGGGACTCCTTAGTCTCCTGAGCCGGTCCCTCACTATAAAACACTTTATCTTATCTGTCTGTCTATCATCTATCTATCTATCATCTATCATCTATCTATCTATCATCTGTCTATCATCTATCAATCATTTATCCTCTTTCAATCTACATCCATCCATCTATCCATCCATCTATCATCTATCTGTCTACCTATCTATCTATCCATCTATCATCCATCCATCATCTATCTATCTATCTATCATCATCATTATTATCTATCTATCCATCCATCTATCTATCCATCTATCATCCATCTATCCATCCATCTATCCATCTATCTATCCATCCATCTATCATCTATCTATCTATCTATCATTATCTATCTATCAATCTATCTATCATTATTATTATTATTATCTATCTATCTATCTATCTATCATCTATCTATCATCATCTATCTTTCTATCTATCTATCTATCATCTATCTATCTATCTATCTATCTATCATCTATCATCCATCCATCCATCCATCTAGTCCATGTAAAGACAAATATAAACTGAAAACTAAGCACTCAACATGCTACCACTCACCTGGAGGGCAAAAAACCCGCAGAAAAGAGCTCACCTTGCCTTTCTCTTTATACAGCCCAATGATGGAAATAACAGATGGCCGAATGAGCCTCCAAGGAGATTCCACGTGGGTGGTGCTGAGGGAGCGTGTGGACTTCTTCACAATGTGGTATTCCTAAAAGCCAGCACAAGGGAAAACCAGAGAGTCTCATTTATCCTGCTGTGGGCTTGGCTTACAAAGAGACTCTGAAGATTTCAGTTGGCTTTTGTGCTAGTGATTTTCCTCTGGTTCATCTCTGGTCCAGTGGCTTAAAGACAGTTTACTCTAGATTCTGTGGGAGCAGCTCTCTTGCCATACCCTCCCACTCACAAAGAACTATTTGGCGATCCCAAGCACCTGTGTTCTTCCATCCCTGACCATACGTCACATCCTTCTGGAGTGGAGTCAGGAAATGAACATGCCTCAAAGACACAGGATGACCACCTTGTGGCCCAGCTGTTCTTGGAAATCACCCCCATCCAGCCCCAAGTTCATAATCGTGGTTAGAAAATATCTCACCATTTTAAGTCTAATTTACTCATTCAAAAACTCAACAAGCCCATGTTTCTTATGAAATGCAAACCACAAACCAGACAACTGTTTTTCCACATAAAATATCCCATTGAGAGATGGCAGCCATTTCAGCACTAATCCCTTATATTTGGAAAAATAAAAAACTTTCCCATAAGCCACACTTTCCCTTTCTGGCACACAGCAGCTCAAATCACAATCTTTTTATTGTGCAGTCAAGCATGATAATCACGTGCATTAGCAGGGTGCATGTTGATAACATGATCAAGAGAGTAAGTATATTCTAAACTGTTTCTTTAATCTAGCTCTCTGTGGCTCCTTCTTGGAGTTTTATGTGATGCAGATATCCTAGCACATGTGAAAAAAAGGTCATTTCATTTTTAATATGAGAAAAGATCCATCAGAAAACAGTTCTGATCCTTAATTTGTGTCTGCCTCATTCATGTGTAGGAACGAGATGTCCCTCAGTGATATTTTGCACCCCTTGGCAGCTTAGAAGAATAATACTGTGCAGTTTGACAGAATATCTGCCAGTAACATGGGCCGAGACTTAAATAAACGATGTGGGATTGGCAGTATTACTACCATTTTCCTGAAACCACTGCAGAGAACACCAGACATAGCCAGTGGGTTGCCAGCCCTCCAACACAGAGGGTCATGTGTGACCCCCTCGGGGAACTCTTTCTCTGATCACCAGGCTTCGGCACTGCTTCATGCCATCTCCCTCTTGCAAATCAGCAGAAGCCAAAGGCCTGTGTGCATCACTTGGCTAAGAGTCTCAGGGGTCCTATGATAGCTAATGTAGCACTACTAGCCACCAGTGGCTATATGTTTAAATCAAAGCACATTAACATTAAAATGCACTGGCCAGGCATGTGGCACATGCCTTTAATCCCAACATTCGGAAGGTAGAGGCAGGTGGATCTCTGCGTTTGAGGCCAATGTGGTCTACGTAGCAAGTTCCATGCCACCCAGTGCTACAGAGTGAGACCATGTCTTAAAAAACAAAACAAAACAAAAAAACAAACAAAAATGCACTTCTCTGTCTCACAACATTCATAGCTCACACATGTGGCCACCATCTTAGATGGTATAGACACAAACCACTTACATTCATGGACAGCAGGTAGGCCCGGGGGCATGGTATAGACACACAGGCTCACACTCACCCACACACTTTTTACTCTGATACACCATGCTCCTATTAAATAAGCAATGGTGGTTTGCCACAGACTGTGAGACGCCATTGTCTCCTGGCAGTTGAGAGCAATTCTTAGTTCCAAAACACACAGCAGAAAGGGAATCAAGATGCTGAGATCCAGTAAGAGATTATTCCCCTACTGTTTTCAACTATTGGGCTGACTTCCTTCCAGTCTTTCTGGGTAGACCCCACTTTCTCTGTGGCTCTATATCTACTCTCTCTAGGCCCAAATATTCATTTGTCACTGGGCAGTTCTTCTGAACAAGGGTCCATTTGAGATCTTGGAAAGGAAAGCACATATACACACGGCATGCACACATGCATTTCCATCTCTAATCAAGCAATGGTAGCTATGAGAATAAGGACCCCATTGCCCAGGATTAACCTGTGATGTTCCAGTAGAATCCAGCAGCTGGGGAAGAGAGTGCTTCCGGCCATCTCGGGAGACCTCCAGAATCCTTGCCCGGGGGTCCCCATTGCGCACCATCAGTTCGTTATATTCTTCAACAGACTCTAGGCGGTGGACACCTCCTGCAATAAAGAAGATGGAAACACAGCTTGATAAGGTATGAGAAGGATCTTAAGAGAAGCCATAGGCCTAAACTTGTTGCGTTTACAAATGCTGCATGATTGCAGAAGGTCTGGAGTCCATGACACCCAAAGGACCAAGTTTACCCAGTCCCTCCACTATGTTCTGCATAAGCCTGTTGGATTCTTAAGTGACCAGACTGGCTATGGGGCAATGCATGTGTTGAGTGAGATGCAGGGTTGGTGGGAACGAGAATAAAGTAGTTAAGAGGTCATCAGCAGATGGTCTTTTAGTGATGGCACATTACTTTAGGGTTGCCATGGTTCCACAGCTGGAGGGATGCTTTTATTCCACATAGTAATGATTTTTTTTTTTTTGAAAGGTGCAGTTGAGACAGATCTTTCTATGTGGACCAGGTTGGCCTGGAGTTTACAATTCTCTTGCCTCCACCTCCTGAATGCTGAAATTACAGTCATGTACCACCATGCCTGGCTTAGTAATGGCTTTCTAAATAAACGTATTATTAAAGTTTATTAAATAGCTTAAATGTGCATTGTGCTGGATAGCTTTAGTGTCAACTTGACACACCTGGGTTGAGGGAGCCTCAATTGGGGAATTTCCTCTATAAGACTGGCCTGTGGCCATGTCTGTTGGGCATCCTCTTGATTGTTGAGTGATGTGGGAGGGCCCAGACTACTGTGGGTGGTACCACCCCCAGGCAGGTGGGCCTGTGTTGCATAAGTAAGCAAGCTGAGCAAGGGCCAGGAGAGCAAGCCACTAAGCAGAGTTCCTTCATGGCCTGTGCTCCAGCTCCTGCCTCTAGGTTCCTGTCCTGAGTTCCTCTCTTGGGCTCCCTGATGGACTGTGACCCAGGAGATGTAAGATAAAATAAACCCTTTCCTCCCCAAGTTGGTATTGGTCAGAGTATTTTGTCACAACAATGGAGAAACAAACTAGAACCTGCACAAATCCTAAGTACACAGGTAAGTAAAATTTCATATGCATTTACCACTAACACCCAGATCAAGAAAGAACATTAACCAGAACCTCAAAAGCCCCCTTGGTGCCGCTGACTACCCTGAACCTAATGATCATGATCTGTGCCTCAAGTGTCATGGATCACTTGTGCCTATTTTTAAACTCTATATAAATTTGTATATACATACATATATATTTATATATATATAAAACGTACATTTTGTGTATATAGCTCCTTGTTCTTACATTCATTTTATTACATTTTAGTTTATTTTGTGTGAAGACTTTTTTAAAAAATATTT